TGATTTCAAGAAGTAAAAGACGTGGCAAAAAATCACGATAATATTGGATGGTTTCCATGTCACCAGTCACAGCGAGTCCGAAACAAAAAATGTTTTTTCTCACAAACACTTGTGGATTGAAGTAACCGAACTCGTCATCAGTAATTAGGCTTAACTCCAGGCTTTATGTTCCACACTCTCCCAAAAAACATTATTTTCACAAATATAATGTATAAGCATATCAGACATCTAAGCTCGTGGACCTTTTGTAGTACGTCAAAACTGTATTGAATAATAACTCAGGACAAAGTGTGGGTTTCAAGACTAGGTTTATGAGAATGTACTAGTAGGTGGACAGTTTTAAAACAACAACAAGCAACTGAAAATCAGTGATCTTACAGTAAAATATGTGGTGAAAAGAGAAAACTGTGGGAACTAAATATAAAAAGACCCAACTTATTTTCATTGTAGGCTGTTGCTGAGTGCTTCAGATATTCTACCGGAGTAATTTCTAAGTGTCTTGCTTTTTATCGGGTCATGATGAGAGTGGTTTCAATGCTTAATGTGTAACATACCACCATCGGTTATGTGGGATTCCATGCGGTCCAAGCTTCTATTTTTCTGACTGCATGTATTTGTTCACGTTTTATCAAAACGAGTTTTCTCCTTCGCCTTTTCCTCTCTGCTTTGCTTTCCTGCCTCTTATTTTCAATGATTGTCTGAATAAATGAGTGCTTAGAAAAATTCATCCAACGCAACCCGTACATGGATTCTTATTACCACTGTCACTGTTAGTCTAGGTAATACACGGACTTAAATGAAAGATTTATGTCTATATCATCTTCGTCCGAACAAAGTTATATCACGGCACCACAAACGTGGTGGGCCCGTCGACAACCTCATCGATAATCTTATCAGACAACTACACGTTGAAGTCGTGCACCACGATTGGTACCTAACTTGGATTACTCCTTCGTCGTATCTAGACACTATGACTACTTTTATGACGGTACAACACAAACGGAGTTCTTACAGAAATACATTAGTAATAGTGGGTAAAATTGACAAAAAGAGAACACTCCGGCACGTCCAATGCATTTCGTGCAGTTAGCTGATACTTGTTTTTTATCCTTGACATTGATGAGGATCAGTGTACTGTTCGAAATTCAGTGACCCAAACATCGGATGATTCGCCCTGGGCCCAAATGATTCAATTGGTTCAAATGGCCCAGTAACATTTCACTTGCCCTGCAGCTAAGAGATAGTGATCTAGATTATTATCACTAAACCGGCAGAATTCAACGAATTTTCTGCTTACACAGTTTCTGAAATGAAAGAAATTACTGACGTGGGTCTGTTTAGTGTTAAGTTTAATAAATACATAGCTATTAGGTTGGCGGCTGTTATATGGGACGCACCTGCTCGTTCTTCTGTTAGGTACACTGTAGATCACAACGGTAAGTCAGGTTGCGATGGGTGTACTGTACTTGTGAGACGGCTGGAGGAGACGACCTTTCCAAATGGAGTATATACTTTAAAAACGGATGATACCTTCCGTCGTCAGACTCAATTTATTCACCATCAAGTACATTCTATTATGGAAACGCTTTCGATTAATATGATTATAACTTTTTCTTTAGATCCTATGCACATGGTGTACCTTGATGTCAGAAAAACCTGGCTAATTTATGGATAGATTTAGCACGCAGAAGACTGCTGAACTTTAACTCATGTGCAATTAGGGACATAAATAATTTAATATCAGGTTGCGTGGTAAGTACTCCTTCCGGCTGTCAGCTTAAATGCCGTACACTAGACTTTGTATCGGCATGGAAAGCTTCACATTGTAGGTTGTCCCTTCTGTGTTTAGGCCCGATGATTATTCAAAAAGTATTGCCACAACCTTTGTATGTTAATTTCCGGCGTTTAGCGTTATCCATTTACCTGCCTGCACGTCCTAAATTACATAATACTGTTGTAGAATTCGCCAGAATAGATTTACAAAACTTCCTTAAGGAATACGAATGGTGTTATGGGTCTGAAAACTTAGTTTACAATGTGCATTCGTTACAGCATCTTCCTGACAACGTTCGTGCACATGGACCTATATATAGTTTTTCAGCCTTTCCATTCGAGTCTTATATGAGACAAATTAAGGATTCTATGCATAGTGGGTTTGCAGTAGCTAAGCAAGCAGCTCAGGGTTATGCTGAAAAAATGTCCTTCTGCGATAGGTTTCAACCTACTTGTTTAACAAATACTACCCCAATAGGCGCTTAAGATGTCTCCAATAAACAAGTGACTATGTTTAAGAGTAGTAAAATAACTTCATTTAAGCCAGATAAGGTAGTAGTAGTAGTAAACGAACAGCCTGGTTTCGTCACTGATATAAGGGAGGATGGACTACTAAAATTTAGTTCTTTTAATAACCCGCGCAATTACTTTGAAGATCCTTTCCCATCTAGTGATATAGGAATCTTTATGTGCTCCGTAGTTAGCCATGAACACACATGGATGTCGCTGAAGGACATTGATTGTAAATGTATAGCCATCAATTGTATCAATAATCTAGTTATAATCCCATTGTTCCATACTTTAATGTAAATGCATTTGGTTTCATTAGTGTTGAATTAATTACAATAAACCATTTAATTAGGTCTTATGTTACTGTTAGCCCACTAACAAGCGATACGTCATTGTTGACGTCCTAAGCAAGAAACAACTTATGATAGCATCCAAGGAGTGGATAGTAGTCGAGGAACTTTGCTTTTTTCCAATGAGGCTGGTCGATACGCACCTGCAAAACTGCGATAAACCAGATAACAACTGGTCAGTTATGAAATGTAATGCAATTTACGAATTAGGTAAGTAAAAATACATAGAAACTATAATTCACTATAGATTCTTTGCAGTCTGCGAAAGATCTATTAGTTTCTTTACAAATACTAGAATCTCGCCGTAAAAACACTTCTACGGATGAAAACACATTGCCACAAAACACAGAAAAGCCCAAGAGGTCTGTACAATAATCTTACTAACGTTTCCTAGAGGTGTAATGAAGCGTAAGGAAGAATTTCTTTACAATTCACTTGACATTGACGTGGCTGAGATGCAGGCTGGCAATAGCCATGTTCAATATCCGAAATTCCGGTTGTTTGACAAATTCTTCTCGCCGATTGCCAAGTAAATTTCATTACTATTTAGATGTTCACGAATTAGTTCGACGCAATTAGAGACATCACCGTCAGCATCGGAATCTAAGCATGTCGGTGGTGCTATAGCGGACCAGTAAGTCACCTGAATCAACAAGTGAACTTTTCAGCTTCGATATGCTGCATACAGTGGTGCAGAACATTTCGTCAACTATGACTGACTTTAGTAAAATGCTGCAGAAAATGTCCACAGCCATTACGGACTTAAGTATTAATGTCAAGCAATTACTACTTAAGTTCAATGAACGAGAACAACTGCGTCAGTTCGATTGCGGAATCTCGAGTCAGCGGTTCCCTTTGTCATCTGAAGAGGAACTGCAGATGCTGGACACTGGTTTGCAGCATAAAGAAACCAGGGACAGATTTGTAAGTCATCAACATTAATTTAATAATTTGTTCCTGTTACAGATGGCAATGGTTACAAGGTTATCAAGTGGAGATCCCGAAACATCAATGAGGTATGTTCTGTCGCACCTTTCGACACCTGAGGTTGCCAGTAAGTTCACGTTTCTTGGCACCTCTACAAAACGAGCACTTCAGAAATGCCGGTTTTACGGCTGTATACGGAGTAACTCATATTTATTATTTAAACTTCAGGTGCATTTACAAATCGCTTTTTAGCATCCTCTGTCAACGAAAAAGACCTTGAGAAGCTCTACGACATGGCGACACAAGGTTATTTTCACGATGTCAGAGATAAATTGATAAAGCGTAGAAGAAGGAAAGAAGGGCAGGTATGTACTAATTGAAAGTGATAACTTTCCTTACGGCTCTATAGGTACAGTCGTCAGTGTTTACGGACATAACCGTAAGTTTAGCCTCAAGCATTTGGCTGCGCCAAGACATGTCACTGAGATGTCGTTGTGACTTTTTTTGTTTTTTTAACTTCAAAATTCACGGGACGACTACTTCAATTCTCAATAGACGAACATACGTGGCTAAAGGCAAAAGTCCGTACAATCCTTTTTATGTTCTACTTAATTTTTGATAAACATTTTTTGGTAAAACAACTTCCTTTTTACTTACATGGAAAGCTATTGAAGTGCTGAGAGAGTGTGTTTGATTGTTAGTGAACTAGCGGTCAAATACACATGCCTTATAAATAAAACATCACCTGTTCCTTCCTTTGCAGATATTTTCAAATAACAATGAATTGGCAATTGCAATGGATATGCAAAACGATCGATGCTCAAGCTTGTGCTATAATGTTGTACAATAATACGCTTTTCATTTTCAATAAAATTATTTAAAAATATACCCTTTTTCCTGTGGCTTGTAGTTTTAGTGCGGTCTGTTTTTGGAATAAAGGCGAACATAGGAAACCTTCAGGGTTATGCCAATGGATCAGAAATAGACAGTTCTTTGCGTATTTAGGCGAAAAGTAAAAAAATAAGCGTATATGTAGGCAAAAAGTGGACGATTCAGTGGATATTTAGGCGAAAATTCGACAATTCGGCGGAAATCTAGGCGAAAAGTCGGCAATTTATTGACAAAGCGGGGAAATCCGCAGTATTTCTCCCGGACAGGCGAAAAAGGCGACATTCTGATGTGTTTTCCTCTTCATTTCCTCCTTCTCTTCCAAAACATTTACCCCTTTATTTCCTCTTTGTTCGCCTTTAATTCCCCTTTTTTGGTTATTTGGGGGAAGGAATGATATGTTATTCTATTGTTATTGCAAAATTTGCTATATTTGCTTGTTGCTATAGCCGGAACAAAAAAATAAAGAATTTTCGAAATCGTTTATAAATATTACTTGGAGTAGTATCAGACTCAATTTGATTTGTTTTTCTGCCCTACTTTTCGATACACTATGAATTGCCGCGAATTGTGTCTTCCCAATATCAGTTTCTAAGTTTGGATCGGGATCTAGTCTCGATTTCTAGATTGACGTACTCTGAGCCTTGCATCTTTAGGCCAGACATAAACCTACCAAAATCTAAACTGTACCCTTCATGGGTATCAAGGGTCTTCTTCCATTCTTAAAAAATGCATCAGTTCCTATTAATCTAGCCGACTTTAGTGGTTATGTTGCTGCTGTGGATGTTTACTGTTGGATCCATAGATCTTCATATGCATGCGCTTCTGATCTAGCACTTGGGATTCCAACTGACCAGTAAGTATCATATTTAGCTACGATGCCACTTCAGATACGTCCGGTATGTTGTTAAGTACATCAACCTCATGAAGTCATGCAATGTTAAACCAATCCTTGTATTTGACGGCTCAGATTTGCCATCCAAGGCCGAAACGGATTCAAAACGTCGAGAGTAACATCATTTATTGTGCTTAATGTTCTAGGACCAAAGAGTTAAATCGAAAAAAAGCTGCAGAATATCTTATGAAGGGAGATAAAGCAGCTGCGCAAGAGTGCTTTGAAAGGTCGGTGTTCGTCACTTCCGAAATGGCATATGAGGTTCTTCGAGTGAGTATTATTAGTGTTTCCTTTGTGCTATTTAACCATTTAACTGCACATCTGATTACTATGGGCAAACTTAGATTCTGTATGGGATTTAAAGTCAAGTTAAAAAGCGGGTTTACGTGGTTAGTAATTGGATTGTTTATTGGAAAGGATTACTGTTACGACTTACTGATATATGTAGCTGTTTTTAGTTTTGAATATAAAACAGACAATTGGATTCGTACTATTTATACGTACTTTGAAAGGAAAATTTGTGGCTTATAGTAGAGTTTTCTAACTCTACGGGTAATTATGACTAAGAATAATCGCTTTGTGCTTAAAATGTTTCACGTTTTAGTAATAAATCTAGTAGATCGGTTAAACTAGGTTAATCATAAAAAAACTCTGTAATGGTTCAGTTCCTTAAAATTGTGGTGAAACTCTACTTTATGGACGACCTTTGATGATTGATGTTACGGATATTGCCTACTCATGTGGGAGGTTCCAGTCGTTGCCCACTTTGCAAGAATAATGAGACTTCTCTTTGAGCTTGTTCGATTGTGTTTTTGAAACTTTTTTGTGCTGAACTCAGTGTTGATTAGTTTTATGTGGAACTATAAGAAAAGATCTATCAGCGGGCTGATCATTATTTAGATATTGATACAAGATTGCTGCGCGTTCTCAGTTAATAACTCATATCCAGCGTAAAACGTGGCACACGAGTGCGTTGGTTCAAGTCCCCATACCGCATCTGGAAAGCGAGGTGAATTTATATCAGATACATGGCAGTGGTAAAGGGAGTAACAGTATCATTAGTGGTAGGAAAGAGTAGGTTCAGAAAAAGAAAAGTATGAAGAGATTTCTTAGCTTTAAATTGGACAAAAAATGGATGTACATCAGGCATAGTGAGCGATTCCTAGTCATTCTACTCAAAGTGTATTCATTAACTACAACAATCAAGCGGATCTCGACCAGGTAGCCTTTATCTATTAACCCGTTTCACTCCGCTTGTTGATTTAATTGACTGTTCCTACGTCTTGTTTTGCCAGGCTCTAGCTTTCTTTCGACCTAGTCCTATACCAAATAACACCTGTTGAAATACGCGGTGGTTGGGCATACGTAACATCTGTTCTAACCAACTCATTTGATGAAGACTCACCACTTCATCGATCGATTTGGCATATTTATCTAGTGCCTTATGCCTAAAATTAGCGTTGCTCACCCGGGGTACCCTGAAAACAAACGATGCTTCGAAGATACGTATGGTCGAATAATGGTAACCTACAAATATACCATTTTCTTAATGGCTATGTTTCATACTCGTAAAGTGGAAAGGGGCGAAGTGCTACGCAGTAAATTCGTGTTTTGGTTGGCAAAAGCATGTCTCTCCTGCATCACAAGCAAAGGAAATTGACAAACACCAACCAAACCTTCTGAATTCGTTCCAATATTTTGCCTAGCACCAACCCATCCAGACTGATATGAGTCCCAAAATAAGTGAAGTAATCGACGCACTCAATTACTCCACTCTCTATCCTCAATTCAGGCGCTGACGCAGACCTATCATGATGCAAAATTTCCTATTTAAATCTATATCACCGTACCCCATGCATGGTTGCAGTATTGCTTAAAGTGGGTAGAAAACTGCGTTTTGTCAGCGTTTCCACCAAACCGAAGTGTATCGTCTGCGTAATCTGAATCAACAATTGGACACCCTGGGAACATGTCAACCTCTAAAAAGTGAGGCATTAAGACGTCTATGACAATGTTAAATAAGAATGCAGAAAATGGACAACCGTGACGAAATCCAATTGACGGTAATAATTCTGGTAACAGTTGTCTGTAAGCCCTAACTTGACCACTAGTGTCTGAAAAAGACTACAAGTTCAAGGTAAGTCTTTAAATTATAGACACTACCACATAACCTCTCGATCAATAGAGTCGAATGCTGCCTTAAAGTCAAGGAGTACAGCCATAGTTTGATGTCAAAAAGTTGATCTAAGTCAAGATCGGTAGTTTCGTATAATCTTCAGTTTTACCGACCCATATAATAGTACTTTCGAAAATTTAGGGTTTTGAATTTGAAATGATCAAAATATCTTATTAACTATGTCAGTATTTAGTATTAATGCGTAATTTTCGTCTTAATTATTGCACATTTATTTGACTTAAAGGTTGTTTTAGCCTCAGTTAACTGTGTTTAAATTGTTAACTAACACTTTTTTGCACCACTATAATGACCCACGTGGTTATCCTCACATGTTATTTTTAGTCATATATTTAATAGTCGTATTTGCTTACAACATAACTTGATTATTCACTGGTTCGATTTTCGATTTTCTTCTCATTTATCCTGTAAGGCTGCTCGTAACATGGGTGTTGATTGTGTTATCGCACCATATGAAGCAGATGCTCAACTAGCGTATCTTAATCGAACGGGTTATGCCGACTTTGTCATCACTGAAGATTCTGATTTATTATTATTTGGATGTAGACAGGTAAGTGCTTTCAGATGCACACTTGATATTAAAAACTATTAATAAACCATCAAGTTATCAAGCAACCACCCCTAAGTTTCTTTAAATAATAAATTGAATGGATATTCAGCAAAAACATATTTTGGATCTCATTATTTTAACATTGCAATAACTCCCTAAATTGGCAAGTAACATACCATAAGCTACTAGGTGCTTTTCAATTTTAGTTGGATTGTACCTCAGCAGCAGCGTTTTACGTCATTTTATAAGCAAGCAGTCTTCTGAGTGCGGTTGTTACTAGAAGGGAGAAAATTCAGTGCTTAACGATTGGTTGTTCAAGAGTTTTCTTCCTATCAGCCGTCACTTTTAGGCTTATGGCAAACTATCTGCGGTGAAGTCTGATTTCTCGGTGGTTCAAACATAATCGTCAATTATATTGACTACGTTACTTGTCTGTTGTGTCACATCAAACATTGTAGATTATTGCATGATAAAAGTTTGTCATCCAAACAAGTGTTATAAAATCGTGAAATAGTTTACTCACAAGTGTAACAAATTCCTCTTGGAAGTTCCATATATTCTTGTGAGGGGTATAAAACACGACTATTTGAGACGAAATATTTAAATAGCATCTAATCTACCATAATTTTCCACAAAGGTTTTTTTCATTCAATGGAACCACTGGTGCTAAGAAAATTTTAAATAACTAATAAAAGATTAGTTTGAAATATTCCCATATTGTAAATTTAGAACAACATAGACATAAGCGAACAATATTGCTTTCGATTAGATCCTCATCAGGCTTTACTCTAATATACAGTAATATTTATATGCATATATGAAATTATTAAACCAATCAAGGTAGTTTATAAGTCAACGATAACAATGAAAACGATTACATAATAAGTGAAACGTGAAAAGTACAAATTGATGGTGTGACAACAGGTGCATTAGTTTTGATAAGAATAATAAAGGTTCAAACCAATGTTACATAATCGGAAATAGGTCAATGATTAGAAAAATATAGAAACTGAGATAACAATTATAAAATTATAAGATGATGTAATAAGAAATGTTCAGATAATTGGACCATGAAACGTATAGTTGAGAGAAAATAAAGTAGGAGGGGGTGATGAAAAATAATAAACGAAGAGAAAGTTAGAAAAAGAATAAATAAATTCATTTATTACTTAAGGCCAAGGGAGAGATAAGGGTGTTACAAATTTCTTCTGAACACAAAGACTTGGCTTGTTGGCTCGAATTCCTATAGCTTCTGCTATGTGTAAGAGACGAGATCGAACACCATAAGGAAAACTAGTGGGAATACGATAAATAACTTTGAACGACTTGTTTCTGTCCACCATATGACCGCTATCGATCAAGTGTGATAGAACCGAGCTGCGTATTGTTTTGACGTAACCCTTTCCTAACCACGAAGGGAGGTGTTCACTAACTCGTTGGTTCAGTTGCCTGGTAGTGCGCCCAATATAGCTTTCTCCACAGGAGCAGCTGAATTCGTAGATACACATAGAAGTGGCATAACCAGGTAACTTATCCTTCAATTGCGGAATCACCATCAATTTGTACTTTTCACGTTTCACTTATTATGTAATCGTTTTCATTGTTATCGTTGACTTATAAACTACCTTGATTGGTTTAATAATTTCATATATACATATAAATATTACTGTATATTACAGTAAAACCTGATGAGAATCTAATCGAAAAAGATTAATTGTCTAGGTTGTGGATTTGCACCGACTGAAGAGGCTGGGACATAGTTCTTTCAGGATAATTGGAACGGTTAGCACAATATTTCGTTTTTATCCATAGTTCCTTTATTTTTATTTGAAATATCTAATAAGTTTAATTTCTCCGCTGCCTATATTATTCCTAAAAATTGTTTAAAGGTTGTATTCAAACTTGATTTATCGGGATCAGGGGTTCTTGTAGCAGCCGCGTCTGGTATATGTGAATGCTGTGGAATTCCTGCTAGTCAATTCACCGAATCAAAATTTAGGTTTATGGGCATTATGGCTGGCTGTGACTATTTTAGTGGAATTCCTGGCATAGGATTAAACACTGCTGCTAAAGTAAGTAGTTTCCTAAACGATTATATTTTATAAACTGAAACTTAAGGATCTGCTATGATGTTCACAAGTATCGAGTTATTTTTGTTAGTTTTCCATTCTTGTTTACATCATTATAAACATTTTTGATTTCGCTGCTCTTGTAAGTCCCTTTCTGACTGGCATTCATGTTGTTTGGTTAACTATATTTAATGAATTTAATGTTTTTTATGAATTGTATCACCTATCCACCAGTGTTTAATTCTTCTCAAGATCAAAACGTCATTTTCCGGGGAACATCCACATCACTATGAATTTGTTTCAGAGCTGTTTTCAGGAAAAAATTAAAGAGTAACGGTAGGATTGAACAAGGTATTTGTATACCATCACCCTCCCTAAGGTGTTTTTTTACAAGTCTTCAATATTTTTAGGAACTTCCCTGGCTCATCCTTCAACAGGCAATCCCATAGCACCATCGATAACGGCCGTGATTTAAAGAAAAATAGCAGTTGTTGGCTTGCAATCAGTGTGAGATTGCCGCCACTGTTATGATTTTCTCTTGTTACGACCCAGCTATTCCTATTGCTTAGTATTCTTGGACACCAATTCACTCGACAAGTCCCTAAATCAGAACAGAGTTGAACAGGAAATAAATAATATCCCAAATAACAATGGTAGAAAGAAATAAGAAGCACAACAAGAAAAACGTTAATATATTTATAGCTTTTACATAAGATTTTAGAGTCTTTTCCTAGTATCGACTAGCTCTGATTAGATAAGAAGTAGTCATTCACCGTTCAGCAACACAATCGTGCTCGAAACATGCTTTAATCGCAGCTATGTTCCACTAACGCGCAACACTTGGCGCAGTGTAAATATGTGATCAATACATTCACAATGTAAATGAAAACGAGCTTGGTCATTGCGAGTCAGTCCCTCATCGGCCCTGAACAATGTTCAGAGTCTGACCGAAGCTAATAGCTTATGTGCTATCGGAAGTAGAATTATCGTCCGATAGATTACATAGAACCTTTTTTGAAAGCAGGGACGATGGTCTTCCCATTTCAAGATTCTGTAGTACTCTTTTTGCAAACCTTTTCAAACAACTCAGTTCCCTCGTAAGAAGTTCAATGCCATTTGCAAAAAGAGCTGGTGGTAGTTTACCTGAACCTAGTGATCTATTGCGTTTCAGAAGTTGAAGCTCCCGACGAACGTTGGCTTTATTAGGTGAATATTTAGTCACTGAGAAGGAAGTACAGGACAACATAGTCGATGCCTTTGAATGTCATTAATTGGCGTTCCATCAGTTGTTTCGATGGCGGCTAATTTCCTGTCGTCAGTGGCTTGGATGAGCTGGAAAGGCTTCTAGCGGCAACCAGATACAGCTTCTGCTTCCAATTCGTTAATGTCTTTTGATCATCAGGTTTCTTTGTCTTGATGTGAAAGTTTGTATCGTAATCCTAACTCATTATACGGGAGTTTAAGCTGAGCACTCACATTTTCGGCTACATCATTCGAGTTTAAAAAATATTTTTGACATTGATTAATCATACGGTTGTTGGAATAGATTAATATGTTATACTTTTTCAAACCAAGCACTTTTAAACTTGGGATTTTTCTAGAAGGAGTTTGTGTCGGCGTTATTTGAGTTTTATTTTTAAAGTTTTGTGTTCTCCGTTGTTGATGTAGATGATTGCAACTAATCAATCTCTGCTGGCATATGTGCCTTCTGAGCGAATTGCTTCGATATTGTCATTTAGTCAAAAGTTTTTAACAAAGTTATGTAGTAGCTAGTTGAGGAGTCTAGGACGCGCGTTTCATCCTATTTGTACTATCAGAAATACTTTTAGGAAATTCATCAGTACGTCTGTTATTTATTCTCTGAAGATGTGGCTTACACTAAGTGATGAAACGTCGGAAAACCTAATTTTTGTACTTATGAGGATATTACAAATATATTATTTATTGTTTATCAATCTGTTTAAAACGTAGGCAAATAATTAATACTTAATCACACAAAGTTTTGAATTTTTGGATTTTGCAGATATTACGTCAGACCCGCATAACAAATTTCAGAGAACTGTTGTCGAAATTGGGGTTTTATACCAAACTTAGCAATAATGCTCTTGCGAAGGATGATACAGAAGTTGTGAATACTAAAAATACTCGTGACAAACGACAGAACGTAAAAACAGTTAATTACAACAAAAGCTCCCAAATAAGTGAATCACTTCTTAATGCTGCTGTACGTGCAGAGCGAACGTTTCGACTTCAAGTCATCTTTGATATCGCATCTAGATGTCAAAAGCGGTTCAGTGAACCTACTCCTGAGGATATAGATGAGGAATTACATAATTTAGATGAGTTGAAAGGACCAAATGAAGACGAAGTTGACCTCTTTAGTTATGCAGGACGGTATGTTGAAATAGTTTCATATTCATTTTTAGAAACTAGTGATTTTTCTGAATTTCTGAGTCATTCAATCGCGATCCATGAATTAACTTGTTCTCATCTGTTTGTTCTTATTTATTTATTAGGAACTTAAAAAATTCAGTATACTCTGTAGAGGTTCTACCTAAAGGTAAGGGAGTACACTTGATAAGTTTGTATTGAAAGATGTAGAGATAAAGAATCAAATCTAAAATGTGCAACAAACCTGCCTATGACATCAATTGTCTGAAAATTAGCATCTATATAATGCTTATAGTAAAGTAATATCTTGCTTATCATGTACAAACTATTTTCATCGGTGTTATTTAAAATATTTCAGTTTCTGTATAAATTATAGAATTATTCACTAAAAATGTCCTGAAACGATTCCAACATAAAATCTGTATTTGGTCCTATAAGAGTAAGGAATTAGTATTTTGAAAATTAAAGGGCTATATCCAGATTGTATCACAAGTATTTGCAATATTTAGTAAGGGTAATGTTCGGTATATAGCATCATTCTGTAACAATTAATTTTATCCTCTTCGGTAATATTGCTTCATAAACATACATCCACTTTATTCAGGAAATGTTCCTTTTCCCCTTTTACAATTGTCGTTTGTATGGATTTCGGTCAAGTACGAAAAGAATAAATAGTTTACATAGTTTCGTATGGGTAGAGTATGTTACTTAATGTAGATAAATCGTAGTTATGCTAGATATATTTGTCGTTCAAGCAGTTAGTCATAAATGACTTAGGAAATGGGGCAAATGTACGTAGGTTAAGCTGTCACACTTCACAATAGGGCAGAAAAGGGGGTCCATTAATCGATGAAACAGAATTATAGATAGTAATACTAACAATAGAAAGAAAAATAAAATCAACGATATGAGGCATTGAATAGCACGATATTCAAAACCTAGAAATTATAGAGTTAATGTTGCTGCCACAGATTTGGAGCTTTATCGTTCAAGCTCCCTATCAGTTACTATGATTATTTCACTAACTTCAACCTAAAAGGATGCTACTGTGTACATGGCTTTGACTAACAAACAATGGCTCTGTGAGTTAACTTCATATCGTTTTCTGTTTATCTTTAGTTTTTTTACCAACACCTTTAGTTATTTGTAGCTAGGGATAAGCCCCGTAAATCCTCCTCACTTCCTTTACTTGGAGTTCTCCATCTAACCAATTGATTTCCGACCCTACACAACATCAACAGTGGTTCTAAAGTACCTGTAATCGAGTACTAGCTATTCGTACACCTTTATTTTCACGTGTAATATTCAGAAGCCTACTGATATACGATAGCCAATCGGATATTTCACGCTATAGTCAACTGAAGTAGGCTGAAATTGTACATATTTTTATATGTGTTGAGACTTTACCCTCCACTAATTCACTAATGTCATTAAAACTATCAAGGTAAATGGATTGATACGTTCGTTAATTACTACATATATTACCTGTAAAATAAGTAATTACTCAAACCATTTACTGATGTGAGACTTAAAATTTTGGTGGTTGTGATATTTAGTTTCGAACTAATCTGATTTTTCTGATCAAGTTCTACTGTATCTAGAAATACAATTTCTACTGGGTTTCCAGTTTTGTCTACGGTAATGGCTATTTACGAACTATTGAGCTTGTTCTAACACGAATGTGTCCTAGGGTGGACTCGATAGAGTGGAAACTCGTCTCAACGTTAATAATTCACACACGGCGATAAAAAAGGGACGTTCAGGATAGTTTCGTATTCACAACCAAGTCAAATTGAAATGAAACAACTGTGTTTATATAGTAACAGTCGATGACATTGAGACACGACAAAGCTAACTAACTAAGCATAAAAACAGCCGATCAGATAGTATCAAACGTCAGTCCAAAAATTCGAATTAGGAAAATTTTGTTGAGGTTAATTTTTTATGAAAGAACTAACATGTGATGACAAATTATTAAACAACCTGGATTCTCCTTAGCAAGTTCCCACTTTTAACTTACTGGTGAACTATTAACACTTTTTATTTAAGGGTTTTAAAAGACAATGAGAAAGCGTTCAATCGAGCTCTTGGAAATATCAGCTATTCTGATGATACCATTATAGATAATTACTACCCTTGTACATCAAAAGTAAGTCATTGTGTCTTACTTTACGTTGCGAAAATGTTCTCATTATTTTTGCTAGTGTACCTTGATTTGAGGAAAACTGCATAAGTGAATAATTTGAGTGATTAAAAATTGTTATGTTAGTGTGATGAATTAAGTTTGTGGCAAAAATATGTTGTAGCAAATCGGAATCAGATCTCGGGCCACCATAAGGTTTAATATTAACCATCAAAGTGTTTCCTGACTCTGTCTAAAATTTAATTTATACTGTTTACGACAAAATTGCAAAACACTATCCTATCTCATTTTGAGAAGCAGTCAAAATGTATGTTGAACGTGTGACTTGAGGAATTTATTCAAATTTTATGGGCAAACCTTGCCCAGTACATAGTTCTTTCCACTCACACATTTCAAGACACTTGTGCGAGAAAATCAATAAACAATTTTTACTTGCTTGATATACTGGAGGAAATTCAATCAATAGTGTTTCGGAAACTGAGTTTGCGTAGCTCATTTAGTCCTAATAATTATTTATAGAAATTAATTTATGGTGTTTAGTATGAGGTGTCTCCGTGCAGATGCTCGACCTAATCAAGTTTCTTAGGTCAGTTCGATGTTTTTTTTCAATCCATTTTTAACATTCGCTCTCATCATTTTTTTGTGGAACACTTAATTTCTTATACTTAGAATAATTCAATGCAAGTAAATGGAGCCATCATCGGACATTCAACTATTCAAACAAAAGTACAATCATCAGGATTACGACCTAATCCCGATCGTTTGAAAATAAGCATATGGGATAAAAGTTATCCTATTCAGAAATGTACGTGATTTATTTTTATTGATTTTACTTTTTTTGTTGTGTACAGAAATAGAGTTGCTTTTTTAACAATTAGTCACAATCTCGATCAAATTGACTAAAACGATGTTTGTCTTCAGTTGTTGTATTGTAAGTAGATGTGAAAACAAAGTAATTAGTATGTTATATGAACATCATACTTTTATGGTAGATGTCACTCTATAAATTTTACCACATAACAACAACATTTTATCGTTGATATACAAATGCAAATTGAAGACATAAGTATCAAAGCTATCTATAAATTTTAGTGTAAAAGATACCACACTTATGTTGCATGCGTGATTAAGCAATAAGTATTACTAATTACATTAATCTTGTGTTGAATCATTATTAGGGAGAAACTAGAACACTCATGTTGGCTTAAAACATACTATTTCTTCATGTACTACTATCTTAACTACTACTTACCTTGATGCTGAATATATAAAAAAGCTGATGGATTTTCATTTTGGTGACCGATTTCATTATGGTATGTTTACTTGATTCTTATAGATACTTGTGTTCAAACATGAGTTACGAATATATATATATATATGAGCATGAATCCTAAATGATAAAATATCGCAGCGCTGTATTTCAAATGGTGCCTTTTCTGTAGGCTTTTGTTCGACTGAATAACTAAATTAAGACCAAACTCACACTGCTACCCCATTTAATAAATCTAACAGCATAAAATACTGAATTTTTAATAATAGCAGTCAAAAGATAAGTGTTATAGTGAACCAAATCTCTAGTCAAATTAAGATGAAGAAAAATAAACCATGAGATGTAGAGTCAAGTCTTTCATGTAAGTAATTTAAACCCATTTCATAATTGTGTTTTAAATATCATAGATTGTAGGTAGCTGACGAGAACCAAACGACATAAAGTGAATTCATGTTAATCTGCCAGAATTCTTGTTGTCGCTGTTTTCAAAATGATAAAGGGTACTATGAAATGTAGACTCAACAAGATAGTCTTTGTAGACGTAGACGTTTGTGAGAATTACCTACTCGTTCCTACATAACTGGACAATTAGTGATTGTTCTTCAATGAACTAGAACACAGGTGAGGACGACCAACTGTATGTTAGCAAATTATGAGAGCCATACATTGAATACTTCATTTGCGAATTTCCATTTGTTTTTCACATTCTGCAAGATTATTCCGACCTACAATTCCTTTCCGTTTCCGTTTGCTCCAAATCAACCTTCATAGCCTTATGGTGCCAGGTTTTCCACTTCCAATCGGTGTTACATACTACTTATGTCGACAGACATAAGTAGCATAAACAATAGTCCTACCTATCACTTGAATAATGTTTGTATTTTGAATAATTTAAGTCTATGGTACATTCAGATTAAAAATGCACATACCATACTAATTTAGTCATTTTGAAATTATTTTTTACTCATGTCTCGTTTTTTGTACAATTTATGTAGTTTGGCTTCGTCGTTCTCAGAATGGTTGCATTGAGCCGGTTTCAGATTTCTCGTCAACTGATTCAGACTTTTCTTCTACAGGGAAAGAAAATAAAGACCCGGTTGAGAAATCACCTATAAAGAAATTGGAATTGAAGAAGACACAGTCAACTTGTGGACGTCGAATACTGGTTCCTGCAGCTATTCAACAAAGTCTTAAAAACCTAAGAAATAGTATGTCTGTTCCACAAATCGAACATCAGGATTCACCTAAACGCCCATGTCTTGGACTCAATAACTCTACAGTAGATGACACTTCCGGTTCGTTTTTTGTTCACTATATCAAAGTGTTCTCTTTGTTGTTAATTTAATTTAATAGATATCTTTTTCTAATACATATATTTTTTAATAGATGTTTTGCAAGTTTACGGTCAATCGGAAGAATTTCCACTTACACCTAAACTGAAAGACCGAAATCATCTTTCATCTTCCATTGTTTCTGCTTCTGGTTACTTTCCAATTCAAGAGAAAAGTGATGTTCCAAAAGCTATAGACGATGCCATCAATAATTCACTGAATGATGATAATGATGATCTTGGTCGTTCTCAAACTTCTCGTAGTCCAGTATTTTACAAGGCTAGTTCAAATCCGTTTCGAATAGCCTCCGAATTATATTTATGCAAATCAAAAGAGAAAGTTGATAATAATTTCGATATTTCTGTAATGTTAAATGATGAACGTAAAGACTGTTCTTCCATTGTTTTCAGCAGTAATATGCAATCTGGCTGTCGACGCTCATTAGAGTAAGTTCAATAAACGTTTTGATTAGTGAAAAATATTTTGCGTACTTATTATTCAGAATAAATAATTTTCTATAAATCACCTTGTTCTTTCTCTTAAAGTTTCAAATACAAGAAACCCTGTCAACTGTGGGGAAATTCTTCATCGATTGAGTCAAATAATAAACAGTCCAATTCTTCAGATTCTCTGATACCTGACCTTAACAAGTGGGAAACTGAGTTGCAAGATAGCTCCTCTTCGACCGAGTCATCTCCAAGTTTTCTAAATTCGCATAAAGTTGCATCTCATACTTCAAGTTTGCCAAATGGGAAAACTACTTGTAATCGCCTCTCTCTAATCAGTAACCGAAGTTCAAGTGTACAAAATCCTCATGTTTCCGATGTTACACTACCGAACGCGAGCATTCTAGATGTAAAACACAATAGCGTAAGTTTTTTTAACTGAAGGAGTACTACGTCATAGATTGAAATATAACATTTTGTCTTCGAAAATGCTACTTTCCAACAATTGCACTTAAATGTCTACACGAAGTAAATTCGTCCAAGTCAGAGCTAAAGTTAATCTGGATTAGTGGTCTAAGTTCACTAATTATTTGTAGAAAGAGAGATTTTCCCCACCATATGGGCCTTTTTATCCGCCGATTTTGTTCGAGGATTGGATATCTGTCTTTTCACATTTCTAGAAAAACATGAAAATGGTGAATTTGATAGGATGTGCAACCCGCAATCATATAAATGTATTCTGATGAATCATAATTTCTATCATCGCATTAGTAGTAAACAATAAGATTAACTGTTTGATATTCTTTGACATATTGATAATGTGATTGGTATATATACACTAATTCTATTGAAACCGGCGAATGAAGGACATTCACTGAATTAAAAAAAGTGAATCAGTTATCTGGCTCTAGGTTTAGTGGAAAATTCTTTTCCATAGAAGAATTTAATAATAGTAATGCTGTCTATATAAAAAAAGCATTTAATTGAAGCATACTTTATGACAAATGTTTTATATTATATGAAAAAGTAGCAAAATTTAAGAAAATCAATTATGTGCAACAAAATTAGTTATTCGGTATATTGATGATACATATTTCATGAATGAAAAGCGAATGTCCGGCGCTTTAACCAGATTCCGAACCATTGGTGCACATGGGCTCCAGTGTCCTGCGGGGCAAATGGCGTATGAACCAATCGTTGGTCACTGGCTACCATGGAACTGCATCTTCTCAAGATGATACACTGCCTTGTGGGTCAAACCTGAAGATCAAAGGCTCAGGGTGTGGCCCCCTAAGATAACCACCTGCTTCGGCCTGTGCACCCGGGCAGTATCACAGCCCTCACACAAATCAAATGATTTATTTGGAGCATATCTATTTGGTGCCTCCTTGTAGCAGTGTTTATGTGTTTAAATAAATAAATAAATATTGATGATACATATTTCATAAGTCTGTTAGTGAAAATTTACGATTGAAACTAAAACTCAATTTTATTATGATAATGAAGTTTTATCATTCCGTTGAACATTTTTAACGTAGTTTTATTATAGACAATAGCTACATTCAATTTTGAGCTACAACTGTTCAACACAACAATGTAAGCTTCATATAATTAAATTTTTAAAATGTAATGTAATTATTTACTGTAACCAACAAATTTCAATAAAATTTCAAAGTAAAAACTTACACTTTTTTATTGAATCAACATAGTCAGTCTCATGGTATCCAATAGCATAGCTTTTGTTCATCTACTTAATTGTTATTGTTTTTTTTTACTGTATACAAGCAGGCATTAATAATTTAATGATAAATGTACTATTTTAACATTTATGTATTTATTTATTTGACAGATCTCAAAACTATCAAATAACAATCTTAACAGTAAACAACACTCTTCACATTCAAAGATATCTGGCAAAAATCGTTTACCATCTGTACAATCTTCAACTTTGGATTCTTTTTTTCAGAAATGGAAATTTAAATAAACCTACCAATCTTTAAATATTTTTTTTCTTATATATATATATATATATATATATATATATATAAGAGTATATACATATCGATATAATTCCTGCTTTCGTTCCTAGATCTATTGGTATGTATATATTTTTTGGTAATTAAATTTCTTTCCTTCCAATTGGTCTAATTACGTTAAAGTTTTTGACCTTGTCTTTGTTTCTTATTACTTGTAATTTCGATCCGGAATTTTCACCTCAGCTTCTGATTTATGTAGATATTAGAAGGGTTGTTTAAAATATAAATAGCGGTTGTTTTGTAAACAAAATGATTATAAGAGTATTCAATAAAATATAAAAAATAGTAGTTATTAGTATTACGCAAATATAGTGTTTCTTCTAGCTATATCCTTCCAGCGATTGATCATTATCTGTGTTTGGATTATTTAATTATAGTTCCATTGGGTAAATTAATATACCTATCCAGACTGTTAATATTTCGTCAGACATTGTTCAAATGACAGATGTGCTTGTTCTAGTCATCGTCATTCTTGGCTTAGTTGACGGATTTTATAAACATTGGTTAAGCTTAGAATGTGCTTTATTTTCGAAAATAACAAGTGCTTGAATTGTATTGGGGACCATGTGACCGTGCCGCTTATCATGGGAGCGGTTGTGTTCTCTAGTCCGATTATCAGCTTATTCACCTACACTGCCTCTCAGACCAGTAATCTACTTTGCCAAGGATACAGTGATTACTAAACAACTACCCCGAGATCCTAACACCTATTAGTCCTCGATATCTGATTCAGCGTCTAATCAAAAGACGAAGATAGCAAGCATAATTATCCTCTTTTGACTCGAAATTCATGCAATAATAATTTCTCAAACAACAGACTGCGTAACTAACAAATTAAGAATTAAAGTGTATGGTCAACTTAGTTATCCGTAATACAAAACAGGAATGGGGAAATCATAGATAGGTCTGGACTGACACGTAGTACAACAGTTTACGAGTCAAACGAAAGTTTATAAATAGGTGGATATAAAAATATAGAAATCCAAGCTCCTAGTAATTACATGATAAAAAGATAAACTATGGCTCACTTTAAATTCACTTGATATTGTTTGCTCGAATCTTTCAATTGATGTTTAAGACTGAAATTGATCAGTCTCTTATTGGCATATGTGCATACTGTGTGTATTGCTTCGATATAGCCCGAATCCACAAGCATTATAAATAAAGATGAATAGTGGTTAGCAGTTGGATCCAGGACGTGCGTCCCGCCCTATTTGCATATAATGGTTGTGGATTAAGGCTATATCGAGGCATTACGCACAGTATGCACATATGCCAATTTCAGTCCTAAAAATCAATGGGAAGATTCAAAGAAACAATACCAAGTGGATTTAAACTTCACCCCATTGCAAAAGCAAGTGGCTATCAGGACTCAGTAGCTAACTGGATAGCGCGTTGACGTTTGAAATGAATGGTACTGAGTTTGAGTCCCAGGGTAAATATAAACTTTGAGGTACAGGTACATCCAGCTGACGAGTCGTAAATAGGACGGAAAGCGGGTTTTGCATTCCACTGCTAGCCACTGTCCATCTTTGCATATGACTCGCTTTAGTTTTGAAATCATTCAGCCTAGTCTTTAATTGGTTCTCAGCTTTCATTGTTCAAGCCAACTTAATTTACACTAAGCGTCGTAAATTATAACGCTGAAAAGTTATAATGAACTGTCTAAATTATCATGGTTGTGCACGTCTTAGTACTATTTTTGTAAATTGATGTCTTGGAAATATTTTTCAACCCATAGAATTTTGTTGCAAATTAGTTAATATGATATTTTAAACATATCAATATCGTTGACATTGTTTTTAATAACGGTCGATGTCATCTGATAATCCCCGTCTTCTTATTACTCTATCGGAATTCATCAGATGGACTGAATGCTTTAGATGTCATTTTTATTTTCGGATTTTACAATATCGTCTGTTAGATCATTTTTATTCTTCCTTATTGTAAAACCTATTTCAACATACAACATTGTTCAGTAATTTTCATTTTAGTTCATTCTGAACTTCTAACCACTATCTTAAGATAACGCTTGATTAACATTATTTTATTTCAGTTTGCCCTCATTCATGACTTTCAGAGTGAACTACTGCTGTAAGCTAAACTATGTAAAGTACGTGAAATACATTGGTTGTAAAAAGTATTAAATTATTGTAAAGAATGTAATCCACTTTTTTCTCTGTCATCTTTGTTCGATAAATATACTAACATTGGCAATACCCAATGTAGAAAATAAGTACATAAAAGTATCCATTTTAAGATCACAATCCAGTGTAGTTATTTTAAACATAGTTCGCAGTGGCATTTTGATTGGTAATCCTTTTCAAGTAGTAATGTATCTGTTTTCAGTCAACTGAGAAAGCATTTTCTAAGGTGTGGTGTCGGGCGTCAAGTTTGTACAGCTAGATCATAGTAGATCATTTGCTTTGGTAGTGACAAAATATTTTAGCTGTCCATTATTATGTAGCTTATACTACTTAGTGATCGTAGACAATCATTGAAAACCAAAATAAAATAAACAGCTGTTTCGATGTGGCATGGGACTCGTCGCCGTGCGTAGCCGAGCCCAGCTCTTCAAGTCCCAGTGAAAGTTGTTTATCTTTAAATCACTGAGTTAGCATCTGTCGGTTTACGCATTCAACTTCAATATTGACCAAAACCGTCTATTTTATGTAGGCCTTCATATCATTTGCTACATCTCAAAATTTTGTTGATATGGGTCACAGTTTGTACCTAAAAACTTTTCCACAATTTGTGCATGTATTGAAGAACAATTACGGGTGCGTATGATTTACAAATGAAATAGTGAAGGTTGTTTATTTATTATCATCAATGATTTACAAGTAATACCAACATGTTAAATAACTGAATTGGAAAAAAATTGTTACTTGAAGGATTAGAGGATTTAAAATAAATCATTTAAATGAATAAATCGACATAGTCTTAAAACAGCAGTATATCCCAAATGTGTCATCTGACATGTCAATGCGTTGTTAAAGAAATTGGATTCCGGCACCAAGAAGTCAGGATTAAATGAAACCTAGGAAAGAGTAATGGAGGTCTGATATTAGATGATAAAGTTTATGATTATATTATACCTTACTAAAATCTAAGGGCTTCATTGTAGTTGAAAGCAAAATAACCACGAAAGCAGTAAGCTGTCAAATAATGTGTTTGAAAATGTTTCGACTGTATTTGTTATCAATTTATTAGTGACTACGTTCTTTGGTACCAGTTATAGAAAAACAATGGAAATATGATTGAGTTATTTTTCAAGAACGCTTAGTGATGTTACGCACTGAGGTTATGGTACGACAAAACACGAATCAACCACAATTATGATGGATGTTCCCATGACTTGGCGTTCCGCTGAGCCAAGGTATATCAAAGGACAAAGCAGCTTGCCACATTCTAAAACTACAATGAATGAGTGATGGTATGATTTATGTAGACTTTCAATGACGATATAAGCTTTCACGTGGCGTTATTCGTAGAACGTGAGAGCATGTATCGAAAATATGGAGTAGACGGATTCTTTCCTGAATTCTAATCCTAATGCTCTTTATTGCATATGCAACGAGTCTTCAAAATTGTTGGGCACTGTGTGGTGCAAATGTAATTTTCATTTTATTCTTAAGAGTTATTAAAATACTGATGAAGCACTGAATTCTATTAAGGAATTCGCTATTTTAGTCACGAGTTATTGATCTAAAATTTTATCTTCTGTTAAGCCATTTGGATAAGTTCTGTGATCTCAAGTGGTTTATTTCACAAGTAAGCCTTGAAATCCATGAAGTGAACAGCAATGGGTTTAATTCAAGAGTATCTGCATGAAGTTGTTTTGTAACATTTGAGTTGAACTTAGGAGAAACTGTAAATTACTCGGGCGTACATTGATTGAGTCTTTTGCTGAAAGTTGGAAAGATTGTGAGGTCAAGAAAATCGCGGACTATGATGAACCCAAATAACTTTGCTTATTAAGATCCCAATAACTGTTTTTAACGACCGAGATAGGATAAGTGCAACATCACAGCATTTTAATGGGGTTAAGATTGGTTTTATCTTGAATTTTTCAGAAGCAATAGTTTGATGACCTCAGTTTGAATTTATTGGACAGGCTATTTTTATATTTAATATAGTCAGTATGAACAATTACATAGTGTTAACTAAATTCAAATAAACATACTTGGAATGTGTACTGCCCTGGAGCAATGTCAGTTATATCAACCCATTGGCAATCATAATCATGTAAATACATATCTCGACATCCTGGACTTATACCTGGAAACAGAAGAGCGTAAAAGAAGTATCTAATTTTAATCATAGTTTACTGGTTTCATGTGTAGACAGTGGGGTTTCAGTTTATTGACTTTTAAAAGAAACTGTTATATTCAGTTTATATTAAGTGACTTTTTTAATATCTGAGAGTATTGATGTACTGTACACTGCAATATTAAAAAGGCTGAAAATATTACAATGCACAACTTATATATTTCGAAGGTCATGTTGTAATTATAGGTCCTATTGTGGTGTGTACTACTTATGCGAACAGACACAAGTAGTATGTAGCAGGAATTGGAAATGAAATGCTTACTCGTAGAAGATTAAAATAGAGAGGAGAGAAAAGAAAACATAGCAATCGGAATAACAACATGATTAAAAGAATGATGGAGTATGTAAAGCACAATTCAAGGAAGCTGTGCAGATGATGAGTTTAATATATTTTCATATTTTACAAAGGCACTGTATGGCTTTTCACCTGATTTTTCGTTCATTACACTATGATTAATTTGATTTAATGAGAAAACAAACTTTAAATCAGTTGCATAAAAATTTTATCTGATAGATCATTATTTTACGGAGTTAGTATAGTATAAGGATGAGTCCAATTAGTTCTAGCTAATCAGAAAACAGCTTTTATGAATGGATAGTTTATGGAACATAATGCATTAATATTGTTCAGTGTCTCCTTCAGGTTACTCAGCTTGTAAGCCAAAAATCAAAGACAAATTCGCTCTAATGACGCGAAATTGTTCATACATTTGAACCCTTAAAATGACCCAAAATGTTTTTTAAGAGCCCACTGTTTCTAATGGGAGTTAGATGTTTATGGTTAGGGTGCTCTGTGGTCATGTGGATGAATGAATTTCATTCAAAAATATGGGATGCGCTGTCTGTTTAATTCTTTGATGAAATATAGTGCTATAAAGTTTAATTATGTGATAGCGATAGCCAATCAGAAGTAGTAAAAGGTCAAGTGCATTTCATTGGGGTCAATGGGTCAATTTCCTAAGGATAACATGGTATATATATATATATATATATATATATATATATATATATATATATATATATATATATATAAAGTATTTGTGCATTTCATTTGGTAGCCCAATATACTTTTACTCACTCTTTTGTCCTCTTTCAAGTGGTCAGTTGGTGATAGGGGGGTTGTTGGCGCGTAGCACACCATGTATCAGATTTCGGAGACCGTCCGTCACAATAGTATGCTTCAGAACTAAGGCTTTTGGGTTAGGATTCGGGGATAATTATTTAAAAAATAAAGAGACAGGATCGAGCGCTATCATAGTACACTATTATTCCAAAAAAGACTTGTCGCTACCATTTTAAACCTTTTTTAACGGTATACATACATTCAGTATTTCAGGCTTTCATTTAGTTTTTGATCAAGACTGGTTTCTCTAAAATGCAACCAATGAAATAAACTCTGATTGATAGATCCTATGCCTCCCAATAATATCATAAACCTGAAACATCCCAGAAATTAATTACCACTTTAAGAGTTATTTGTTTTCTCTACAGGTTTATGTTCAGTTAAGAAAACCCAATGACTTCACTACGAATGTTGATCTGCTTTCACATATTTATCACAACGGTTGATATATGAACGCCTAAACTAGTGAACTAAAACTTTTTATAACTCTTACTACATGTCGAAATTCAGTTAGTGTAGTTATAGTGATCAATGAGTAATCTCGCAGTTATAAAATTAGCTAAAGATCCTTTTTGAATTCATAATTAATTTTCATTTTGCAATTTAAACATATAGGAAACTGAAATAACTGAGTATCCTTTGTTTGTTTATCACATTCAATAGCCAAATGTAAAGGGAATAAAAAATTTACTATAAAAAATCGCTCAATAAATATTACTTATTATGAATAGGATTTAAAGTATACAGAATGAATACATTTATTTACAACAGAAATGGCAATCACGGAAATCTGATTATTGTGAAAAGTTGTATAATACTTTATTATTAGCAAACGTTAAGCATAGTATTATGTTAAATAATTATAATTACCTTGTGTTCCTTTACTATCGACCACATTACTACAACGGAACTTAGGTGCTACTCCAGATTTGCACAGATTATCTTCTAAACAAAAACTTGATTTATGCCCAACAGCTACAAGCCTCTTTTCTGTATCCACAACTTCGTAACGTGAAAATACTTTCATGCTATGATAGTGCCTATAAAAAAAAATATAAAAAAATCCAATATGCTCAAAATAAGCCCATTTCTGTTATGTGATAGTTTTTTCTCTTACTGATCATTAACTGACAGTGTAACTTGATTTTAAAAATTATACAATAAACTTGACGTTTACAGATAGTTAAACCTGATGAAATCTAATAGAAAATCATTCCATAATTGTTAACAAAAAATCAGTATTCAAAACTAATAGAACTTAAATTTTCTCTACAGCCCAGATATCTCGATCTTGTCAAAATCTCATTTGTATCAGATACAAAACCGTTTAACTAATTAAGTGACATGTGAACAAAATATCTATTCTTATAATGGGATATAATACCGGTACAAAACACAGTGGACTGTGAAGTATAATCCAAAATGTTTGTCACTTTTTAATTTTGAAATTTTATTGAAATGTAGGGTTAAACAAATTTTTGTTGATCAAAGATACCATTATATAACTTCAAACGATCGCATTTTCATGTCCTATAGTTTGACAAATTTATTGTATTTATCTTCTGTTTTAACAAAATCATGTTTGTTTCTTTCTGTAGTTTGACTCATCTAGTAACAATTGTCCTTGTTTAATATCCATGTGAATTTATCGTAGGGATATTATTATTAT